ACTTATGCCTTTCGATTGAATCAATTCGAGTATATCACACTGCGGCTGTTGAGTGTGACGTGTGGATCAAGTCTTTGGGAATTGCAATAGCTGATTAGAATAAAGATTTTCATTAAAAATTTTTTTAAATATAATATTTTCATTCAATTATTTTAGCGGACAAATTTGTCTGCTAAACTAGACGGTTTAAGGGATAGGTACCGTATGCTTTAGTTTGACATAACATCTTTCCCGGTTCTTTGGAAGTAAATAAAAAATGATTATACTTTAAAATTCTGGATAGCTCTTTAAAATGTGGTTTTAAAAACTTAGAAAAGTCGTAATATGCTCATTCTTCACCATCATTATAACGTATTCCATTATTGGCACCATTATTTGTTGATTTATTAATTACTTTTTGAACATCATCTACTGTATTAATAACTATTTTTCGAAAAAGTGTTTTAATATTGCCAAAATATCCATCGCATATAAATTTCATATGTCCAGTTATCATAAAATTTACCTCAACTGTATTATACATGCCAACTAATGTAAGCCAACACCAAAAGTATAACAAGAGATTATTTTTATTTTGTGCTGAGCAATTATTACAAGTTACTTTTAAATGTTTTTCATGATTATAAAATTGTTGCAATCCATTATAAACAAGACTAATTATTGTATTTGCTCCTTTACCTGTTCCTTGAGGAAATTCATTCTCAGCAATTATATAATTTAATTGTTGAGCAGGATTTTGTCCAGTATTACAAATACCAAAAATATGAGCCTAGAATGCAGATTTAAAATATGTCATACCAATTTGTTAAGGAAAACAAGGCACAGGAACATTTTGTGCCCAATCATAACATATATGTGCCGTATTAGGTAATATCATACTTGTTAAAATATTATTATGATAATATTCTCATTCGATTGTTGCTTTTTGTTTATGCTCATCTAACCTTTTTTGAATTAATTCTTTTTCCTCATTATAATTTGCATTTCGAATTTCAGCCTTTAGAATTTCACAAGTTTCACATAAATCTGTGCCAGGCGTCATAATTTTAATATGTGGTAATAACTCTTTCCAAATACGAACAAAACTTTTATAATTAATTTTATCGAATGGTTTTTCAGGAAAAATATTAAGATATTCGATAAAATTATTATATACTTTAGTATAGTCTTCATTAGTTGGCAAGTAAATTATTGATTGTGCGTCATATTGTAAATGTCGATCTGAAGAAAGATACCCGTGAATATTAGCATAATTACTAATAAATGTAGAAACCAAAGTTGATACAGTTTGATCAATTTTTGTACGGTTTTTTGTATTAGGAATTCGCTTTGTATTGTCATGTAATCCTTTTGTTTTTAAACTCTTATTAATTTGAATAAGATGATCTTTTCCAACCCCAATTAACTTAAGATATGCATTTTTACAGAGTTTAATATCATTATTAAATTGATAATTAAATTTCTGATTAGCGTTTTCATTTGTTTGATTATATTCAAATGCCATAAGTTGACCTATTAAAACTAAATCTAGTTCCTTTTTATCTAAGCCACGAAATTGCATGTATCATTCAAAAAATCGTTTAAATCCAACTTTTTCAAAACATTGATAAGTATTTCTCATTCGGCATTCACAATTTTTGGATTGAAAAAATTTCTATAAATCTTGTGCAGCTTCTTGTACTAACTCATTATCTTCATATTCACTTAAACCTAGCTGCTCTAAAGAAATGTATGATAGCAAAAATGTGTTTTCTTTATTTTCGTTTAAAGACATTTCGTTATGATTATTTTTCGTTTTGTTTTAAAAAGTACTCTGAACTGTATAAATAATGCAAAATTAAATTGAATT